TTCCATTACTTTGTATCTGTATATCTTCTCACACTTCAATTACTTTGTATCTGTATATCTTATCTTCTCCCACTTCCATTACTTTGTATCTGTATATTTGATCTTCTTCCACTTCCATTACTTTGTATCTGTATATCTTATCTTCTCCCACTTCCATTATTTTGTATCTGTGTGTCTTTTCTTCCACTTCCATTAATTTGCATCTGTATGTCTTTTCTCACACTTCCATTACTTTATATCTGTATATCTTATCTTCTCCCACTTCCATTACTTTGTATCTGTTTGTCTAATCTTTTCTCCCACTTCCATTACTTTGTATCTGTATATCTTATCTTCTCCCACTTCCATTACTTTGTATCTGTATATCTTATCTTCTCCCACTTCCATTACTATATATCTGTATATCTTATCTTCTCCCACTTCCATTACTTTGTATCTGTATGTCTTTTCTCCCACTTCCATTACTTTGTATCTGTATATCTTATCTTCTCCCACTTCCATTACTCTTTTCTCCAAGTTGTATTTCATAGAGTGTCAGCTATTTTGTACTTAGCATTATATTTTTTTCTACTGGCAGCTGTGTTTCTGTATTTTACATATCTGTGAGTGATTAACAATGCATTTTGTATAAGCTTACAATGGATACAAGCAGGAATGAACAACCTTTTTACTTCTTTTCAAAGTTTTGAAACTGCTACATTTCTACATTATATTAGAAATATTTTAATAAAGTACATAAAAAACTACATAAATTATAGAAGCCTTGAAGGACCAAATGGCTCATTGCTTTATGGGGATAAACAGGAACAGCCTTGATGGACCAAATGGCTCATTGCTTTATAGGGATATACAGGAACAGCCTTGAAGGACCAAATGGCTCATTGCTTTATGTGGATATACAGGAACAGCCTTGAAGGATAAAATGACTCATTGCTTTATGGTGATAAACAGGAACAGCCTTGAAGGACCAAATGGCTCATTGCTTTATGGGGATAAACAGGAACAGTCTTGAAGGACCAAATGGACTCATTGCTTTATGGGGATAAACAGGAATAGCCTTGAAGGACCAAATGGCTCATTGCTTTATGTGGATATACAGGAACAGCCTTGAAGGACCAAATGGCTCATTGCTTTATGTGGATATACTGGAACAGCCTTGAAGGACCAAATGGCTCATTGCTTTATGTGGATATACTGGAACAGCCTTGAAGGACCAAATGGCTCATTGCTTTATGTGGATATAGTGGAACAGCCTTGAAGGACCAAATGGCTCATTGCTTTATGTGGATCTTATGAAATCTTTCTTTAAATCACTTGTTAATACACTTTAATCAGAAACTTTTTTTATCAATCCATGTTTTTCAAATCTAACAATCTTAATTGCAAATTAAAAGCTTTCTTAGTCAAACTAAAAACAAAAACCATAAAGAAAAGATAAAAAAGAAAATATAATATTTACTAAGTTTACCATGATAAAATTACAGTTATAACATCTTGACATGTTAATTCAATAACAAAACCAAATCAAATACTTAACATTAAATAGGATGACAATTAACACCTGGTTTAGAGATTTATCATTAGACAAGTTTTTTCTTATTTGATATTAATCATATTGCCAATGGGCTATTATTTAACAATGATTAGCATTCATATGTGGCTACATAGTAAAGAACATGTGAAAGTTGGGTGCATCTGTTTAATTATAGCTTCCTACGTCTGATGAGTACAAAAACTATCCATTCAAGTAAGCAGTGTGCACAAATATTTTAAGGGTTTAGAAGCTAATAAACCCAACAGTAAGATGATATACACAACTATTTCAAGTAGTTAGAAGCTTGTAAACCCAAACAGTAACCTGATATGCACAACAATTTCAGTCAAATAGAAGATAATATACCCAACAGTAACTGGATATGTATAACAGTTTCAAATCATTAGAAGCTAATAAATCCAAACAATAAGCTGATATATACAACAATTTGAAGTCATTAGAAGCTAATAAATCCAAACAATAAGCTGATATATACAACAATTTGAAGTCATTAGAAGCTAATAAATCCAAACAATAAGCTGATATATACAACAATTTGAAGTCGTTAGAAGCTAATAAATGTAAACAGTAAGCTGATATACATAACAATTGGAAGTTGTTAGAAGCAAATAAACCCAAACAGTAAGCTGATATCATAACAATTTGAAGTTGTTAGAAGCTAATAAACCCAAACAGTAAGTTGATATACATAACAATTTGAAGTTGTTAGAAGCTAATAAGCCCAAACAGTAATCTCATATGCATAATTTAGATTTTATTAGAATCTAATAAACCTTAGTAACCATCTGATATGTACAACAATTTCAAGTTGTTAGAAACTAATAAACCCAAACAGTAAGCTGATATACATAACAATTTGAAGTTATTAGAAGCTAATAAACCCAAACTTTGAGTACACTTATTAAACATAAATTTGACAAAAAAGTTTATTCATTCATTATGTTACGACAGCAGAAGTCACGTAATGCTGGTAACATGAAATGAGTTCTAGAAAGATCTGAGAACATCACGAATAATCCAGTATTTGCTAGGCGGCCTCTATTCTTGTATATAAGTGCACCAGACAATTAATCGGAATTAAAATTGCAGACAGGCAGAGACAGAGACGGACAATTGAGTCAAGCACGGTAGTAAAGTGCATGAATCGTGGTGAATTATAGCGTGTGTTTAAGTTAAGGTGACTGTGGAAATTAAGTGTATTACAAAAGTTGAATTGAGAAAGAATAAAATAGTTTTATTTAAGAAAGGACTTGTGTCACTGAAGTTTCTTGGAAAGAATTTCTACGGAAAAATAACAGAGACATAACAAATTGGTGTCAGGAGTGGGATTGAAAAAAAAGAAAAAGGAGATGCAAACGAGAAGTGGCAAATCAAACTACAGCTTAGCAGATTCAATGGCAGCAATACAAGAACAGCAAAAGAAACAAAAAGAATGAGAAAAGAAACAAGAAGAGAGATTACAGCAGTGGCAACTGCAACAAGAAAGGAAACAGGAAGAAAGTCTCCAACAGTTGCAGGAAAGTCAGTAGCAACCACGGGAAAGTCAACATCAGTGGCAAGAAGTACAAATAGAAAACATTAGAAAATTTCAAAGTGAAATTAAATACATTTAAAGGAT